TTTTTTTTTTTTTTTTTTTTTTTTTTTTTTTTTTTTTTTTTTTTTTTTTTTTTTTTTTTTTTTTTTTTTTTTTTTGCATTCTTGATTAAACTGGAACGTTAAATTTACCATAAACAAAATTTCAGCTAATTGCACTTTTCTGAAATTCATGGACCAGTATAATTTTCCATATTGCTAATCAGTTCAGTTTCAGCAATTTTTCAACTTCTTATGGTGGGAGCATTTTTAACCCTATACGCTGTTCTTTTTCTTGCCTTGTAGTGATCGAAGCATTGCATTGTATGATTTGCGCATGTCATCCCCAGCTAGGAAAATAATTATGAGGGTATGATGGTTGCAGTTAGTCAAAAGAGTTCCTTACTTGTAATCTTTTAATTTGTTTCATGTATTCTTATGGGTATCTTTCTTGTGACAGACAAAGACAAATTCTATTTGTTGGAATCCAAGGGAGCCAATGAACTTCACTGCAGTAAGCACACGAATGGAATTTTGAGATTTCTTATTCCTTGAAGTTTTCTTAGCTTTTTGGCTCATATTGCTTTCATCATAACGTAGTCAATATGATAATCAAATATATTTTTGTTCTAATGTGTATGAAATAGTTTAGGGCATACCTCATTGTTAAATTTTATAATTAGTCTAGCTTTTTTTATGTCTCTTTATTCTTTTAACAATCTAGTATTTACACAATTGTTCTTTGTGCTTTCCAGGCAAATGAAGACTGCAACTGTTATAGCTACGATTCTAGGAAACTAGACGAAGCAAAATGTGTGCATAGAGATCATGTATCTGCAGTGTATGATACAAACTTGTGATTTTGGTTTATAATAATTAAATAGTGCCACTCCTTATCTTCAATCTTCGTTAAAACTCATGTGAAGATTCCTTTTTGTTTTCAGAATGGATATTGATTTTTCACCAAGTGGTCGAGAATTTGTTACTGGCTCATATGATAGAACAGTGAGTTCAACCCTGGGTTATGTTCAACGTTTCATAACTTGTTTTTCGAGATATGTTTGAACTTACCATGCAATTAATTTTGTAGATAAGAATTTTTCCGTATAATGGGGGTCACAGCCGTGAGATTTATCATACAAAAAGAATGCAAAGGTTTGCTCTTTGATTCTAGTTCTAGCTTTCGATCCATGTTCGTTATTTGTTTTTGTAGGCTTATCATTTATGATCAAAGCCTTCCAATGTACTATTAGTGAATCAAGTGATCTTTTCTTTTGTTTTTTAGGGTTTTCTGCGTCAGGTTCAGCTGTGATGCAAGTTATGTGATATCAGGGAGTGATGACACCAACCTTCGGCTTTGGAAGGCTAAAGCATCTGAACAATTAGGAGTTGTAAGAATCCTCTCTCTCTCTCTGTATTTTTGCTATGAATTGTACTGATCTGGATATTAGATATGTTTAAATCCTTATTTTTATTTTACACTCTTTTGATAAAATTCCTTGTATATTTACCAAAAGATGATTCTTTTCTATTTTGGGAACTCTTTCATCAACTTTATTCTGTACAAGCTTGCATGAAGATTACATGGTCTAATTAGGTGGATAATGATGCTAGTCTAAAGTGATAGTATTTAATAGTTCCCGATTGTGTAATGGTTAACATTTGTAATAACAGTTGATTGCAGCCCTCGTTTGTATTAACAGTTGACTGATTTACTTCTAAACTAATGTTTGCTGCAGCTTCTTCCGAGGGAGAAGAGAAAGCATGAATATCAAGAGGCTGTTAAGAATCGTTATAAACACCTTCCCGAGGTTAAGCGTATTGTGAGGTAAAAGACTCATGTCCAACATTCATGCTCTGTTCTGTTAATGTTAGGCCCCTATCTTCATCAATATTTCCACTACGCCAAGTCCATATATATGCATACGATACACACAGGCTACAGTCTGGGAAGGGAATTTTAAATTTGATCGCTGTTTGTTACTGCAGGCATAGGCATTTACCAAAACCGATATTCAAAGCTGCTGCCCTCCGGCGCACTATTATGGATGCCGAGAGAAGGAAGGAAGAGAGGAGGAAAGCTCACAGCGCTCGTGGGAGCATTTCGACTGTACCACTCCGCAGAAGAAGAATCATCAAAGAAGTTGAGTAAACCAACGTTGAACCAGGAAAAGAGGGTATGTTGCTGGTTGCGTACACTTTCAATAGCTCCTGAGATTTTTCTAAGACCCCATCTCATAACTTCGATCGACGGTAAAGTTGGGTGAGAGAAGGAATCAAAATTTTGTAGTGGTTGTACAAATTCTTGATTGTCGAGATTTTTCAGCTTGTTTGTTTAGAGTCTAGCTTCATGAATCTGTTGAGGCTTGATATATTTTAGTTATGTATTCATCTTTTCATATTGTTCCTGTAATCCCAATTCGGATGGTGGGAGTGGTTTTAGTTTCAACTTCTTAAAGATCAATTACACATTACAAATACCATTTTTTATATCGGTTATTTTTATTTTTAATATTGACGGTAGGAAGATTTGAACGTCCTTCCAACTTAAACAGAGATAATATTGTTAATTATTGTTGAGTTATGTTTGTTCTTGGCACATTTTCTCACTTATCTCTAAAAATTTTAAGCTTATTTCATATTTTTTTTTGGGCAATATTTAAAATTTTTACAAGCTTATTTAATTAATAATTTGATTGTGAAAAAATATAAATAAAAATAAAAGAAGATGAAGAATAAATGAATGAAGAACAAAGGACAACAGAAGGGTAAAAAAAGAGAAGTATAAAAGGAAAAAAGAAATATCCCCCAACTCATTTTCTCGAGCAACGGAAGCAGGGTTTAGCATTTGAATGCCCTAAATCTGAGACGGAACTCTGTTTATCGTGGCTGATTGCACATAATTTTTCGCCGCGCTCTCAGATTTAACGATGGCTTCCTTTGCCGCTAGGGCCATTTCCCGATCCTCCTTCGGCAGGGCTGCGACTCTTCTGAGCGTCGGATCCAGAGCAGCTCCGGCTCGTTCATCATTTCGCATTGCTTCTAAACGACCTTTCTCTCAGTGTGCTGTAAGGTAAATTCCTCGCAAGCATTCGATTTCGACGAAACGTGCTCGATGTAAATTAATTATGAAAACTCTGTGAGTTGAGTTTATGATCCGTAGAAAAGTATGCTATGTTTTTCCATGTGATGTTTTTCTTTTTCTCTTTTTCTATGTAGGCTTCCAGTTGAAATGAGCTTCTGTGTGGAGTCCATGCTTCCTTTCCATTCTGCTACTTCTTCGGCATTAATGACTTCGATGCTTTCTGTCTCTCGCCATAGTTATGGTTGGCTTTCAGAAGGTACTTTCTGACTCTTCTAATTCTTCTAGTAGTTTCTAGGGATGGGACGAAGTTATGAGCCAAGAGTTGTTACTTCCATGTTCTGCATCTATACTAGAATGAATTTTACTTTTTCCAATGTTCTCGTTATACTGCCACTATTAAGGTTTCTGATTTCTGTTGGCCTAAAAACTGAATAGCTGTGTTGGTCGAATACGACCTCAGCTTCATTGGTTACTTGGATTGCCTTTGTGATGTACAACCGATGGGGGATAACATGTGTACACAATTGATCCTATATATTTGGCCCTTAGAATACAGGATGAAAAGGTGGAGGATGAAATAGTGACTGAACGGTCTGTTTTTTCTCGTTTTCTTTGACAAGAAGACAGAACTTTTCATTGATATGATATTTGATGAAAAGTTGCAAGAAACCAAACTCCTATAACAAGCCTAACTGGGAGGGTAATTATAAGGGAAGAACAAAGAGGTTAGGTTTTATAATTCATTCCATCACGATTTGAACTGTTTGAAATAAAAAGTAAACAATTCTCCAACTAGTCTCAAACTAGTTCAAATCAATACCAGGGTTTTGGGTCAAATATATTTCCCCACTGCTTTTATAATCTTAAATGCTCTTTCAGCTTGGTAGAGCAAATGTCTTATCTGGCCCCTTCTTTTTCACTACTTTTTTTCGGATCAATGAATTGAGAATTCAGTTCATCGTCCTAAGATAGAGATTAAATGCTGCATTCTGGATTAGGGTCTTCTAACTTTTTCAAAGCTAAAGAATACAGTTCGTTGTTTGTAACGAATCACTTCCCTCCTGCTGTGACGTATGATTTAGCTGTTTATATGTGATACTTGTATGTTACTCAATCACAACGATTTCATCCAAACTTTTTCAAAGCTAAAGAATACTGTTCGTTGTTTGTAACGAATCACTTCCCTCCTGCTGTGACGTATGATTTAGCCGTTTATATGTGATGCTTGTATGTTACTCAATCACAACGATTTCATCCACGTACTTGATATTAAATGTGAGGATACTAATTGTAACGTTTAACCAGTGTTCAATGATGATGTGTAATGATGAATTGTCAAAGAGGCAGAAAGTCTTGTTTGCAGAGGTCTACATTGTGACAGTGCCCACTGCTAAAATTCTCATGCTGATCTGCAGGAATTTGGTTTTCCATGTCTCGAATCTCGGTCTAGTTAGCATGTCTTAGATTCTAAATTTGTGCAACTACGGACTACTAGAATGTATAGGAAGAGATATACATTAGACAGGAAGGCTTCAATAAATTGTCTCATTATGTTGAATTCCTTAGAGGATTGTCTTGCAATTATGAAATAGCTTCTTCTCTAGCAGTCTTTATATATCTTGTATATTACTCTGTCATGGATGCTTATCAAACTTCATGACCTCTATTAATAGATGTATCGCACAATGTTAACGCCATTTAATATCTATTTGGCAGTGACTGGCTTGCAAACTTCATGATATACGTTGATTGGAAAAGGTTTCACCACTTGGGCAACATGGCCGCCCAAGTAAATCTTCGATTGCAACCAGGGTTTGTGCTTGGCAAGGCAATCTTATCTTTTAAATTTAGTTTCCTCAGCTTAATCTTGATATTCAACTAAAAGACCCAAATAACAACCTTTTTTTCTTCTAATTTTCCAAGAGAGACTTATGATATATTTTATTTAGGTTCAAATATGATTTGGGTCTTTGTATCTTTCGTTTCATTAGAAACTAATTCCAAGAACTATGTCCAATTTACTCATTATGATTAGTCGAGCAAATCTGCTAGAGCACATTGATATAGTACACCTATGAATGCAAAGGTTATATGTACGTTTGAGTAAGCCTTTTGTGAAGCAACTGACAGAATGTTAGCTGTGGATAGCACAATAGTTAGACAAATGAGGCAACAAAACAGAGATACATCGAGAAAACTTTCTATTTACTTTTCCTACTAATAAGACCAGAAAGTAACAATTGCAGTTATCTTTTCAGATCTTTATCACATTAGGATCCAAATTAAGCATGTAGAACTTAGTAGGCACACAGCAATAATCAACTTATATTACCCTTGCCAAGATTTGTGTTGCCATATAAAACTGTATACCAGTTAAATAGCAGTACGGTCACCACACAATAGAAAGTAAATCCATGATAATTGACACTTAACACTGCATTGTTGGAACTCATTCTTCAACATTAACCAATTCATATTCAACCAGTGACAGATTGTTGTCCTCTTTAACCCCAAGGTTGCCTGGTTCAGCGACTTCAATTCGACCCCATTTATCTACTGCTAACCTCATAGAACCTTTAAACATATCGATCTTCGCATTCCGCAGGGTCACAGTGTTTCCTGGCTTCATGATATCAACTGCAAAAATTAACCATTTGTTTAGATAACATAACTTAATACCAAGCAAAAATTTAAAACAGTACGTACACGATAATGTACATGACACACACAATATGACAGTTATGTAACATCTGATTCCTTTACTTCTTTACACCAAACCCACGCAAGGATTTCAATAGGTTCTTAATACCAAGCAGAGACAAGAAAAATACCAATCGCTAGGTTCAAGACAATGTATAAAAAACGGCTATGCAGTTAGATTGACAACAGATTTCAAATGAAAAGTAACATTTACATCTACACACATGCACCTTAATCCACCATCTCAAAGCTCCTGGCTTAAAGGAGATGAACATAATAGAAGCTCTACTCTGACCAGTAATATCCCTCATAACACTTAAGAGAATGACTTGATCAAGAAATATAAAGAAGAAGCTCACAGACCAAGAAACTCACACACTAACTGTCCTTAAGGATCCTTCAAGAGCTAGAACTAAATGCATCCTTTCAAATCAGACCATTTATGTTGAACAATAGTGAAAGAGTCTATTTGGAATGACTTTTTAAGTTCTTAAAATTGTATTTTAATGGTAATTTTAATATGCCGCAAGTCTTCTGCCCAAAAAGCTATTTCAGGCCTAGGTAACCTTACACAATACCCATAAAAGAGAGTTTTTTTGTAGCCTATATTGTAATTTCTCAATTATCAAAGATGAAATTCACTAACAGAAACGATGACCACTCACTGTTCCAAAAGAATTCTCAATCTCAGCAAAACATTCCAACAGAAACGAAGAAACCTTATCCCAGTTTTTAAAGAACATCCTAGGAAATAAAAACTAATATCCATTCATTATATCCAAACTTGTTCGTAACCATACACAATCATCCCAGAAAGCAAACGGAAAAATCCCAAAGATGAGAAAAATTAGGTATTATAAGGCTGGAGAAACGTACCTTGGTCGTTTCGAGCTGTGAAGACGATGCAACCAGTCTCATCACCAACAAGACATTCAGAGATTCGAGTTAATTGCTGAGGGCGAGCCGCAATCACGGTGGATCGTCCACCTTTATTGACAGCCTTCACATTTTTGGAGCTCACCACCTTGACCGTGAGAGTGTGGCCGCTGGTACCAGGCTTTAGCTCTTCTACTTTTATAAACACAGGCTTCCTCTTTGGTGGAGCATTCACTGTTGCCGTCGCCATGGAAATCCAAGTATCGGAACAAAAATATGTTGCCGATGAGAGTGCAACGCGAAAATGGAGAATGAAATCGAACCCCTGCGGGTTAAAACCTTAACCCTAAGAATTAAATTTCGCGCTGCTCTCGCATTTGGGATTTTCAGATTGGGTATCAAAATGTGGGCTTAAATTTGTCACCGAATTGGGCTCAGTTATGGGCTTTAGGCTTTGGGCTTTTAAGAAATAGAAATGCCGGTACATAAACCATAAAACTTAGTCTCAATTTTGTATATATTTTTGATAATTCACAATGATTTTGCAGTACTAGTTAAACCCCACATGGTGTGTAGCATCATAACTCATAAGTGTTGAAGTGTCTTTTTTCCCCTTTTGGCAAATCTATTTTGATATTGATAATCATTTTAGATTTTACAACCATTCTGTTTTACGTCGTTGGTTAGGAAGAGAGGCGTGAATAAAGCAAATGACGAGAACCATAAGATTTGTTTGAGGAGGATTTGTTTAAGGAGGATGCACAAGAATGCTAGGCAATGGTTGGTGCGAAGCTATGTGTATTGATAGGACTAAACCTCTTGAACATGTTTGGGGGGAATAATGTACAAGAAAGTTGATGAGAAGCATAAGCTTTGTTTAAGGAGGACGAGGAGGAATAGGACTAAACGTCTTTGCCATGTTCGGGGAAATATGCACAAGAAAGTTAGGATTGCAGCTGGGGGTATCATATTCAGTTGGACTTCAGGATTCTCAAATACATGCCTGATGAAGCCAGGCTTTCGAAAGCTTTATTGTGAGCTACCTGAGAACACGTCTTAACGAGGGTATTGCTCGGGGTATGGATGGTGATGGTGAAGGTGGTGGTGAGGCTTATATACAGAGTTAAAGATGAAGACATTGATAAGATCTAGATGTTATTGGCCTGAAAACATCATTAAAGAGAAGCCTACTCTTAACCACCAGCTGCCAAGATGTCCTCGTACCACTCTTCTATAGATATCCATACAGTCATTGCTAAATGTACAAAATAGTTACGATATCTGCACAATTTGCTTCAATAGTGTTTATCAGTATGAACTAACAAAGGACAATAATAAGCCTTTTAATCCAGAGCAAATCATTGGCCTTGAAGGTGGGAAAGCTAGAACTGTTTATGACAGTTCTTATCCTTAATATACAAGGGGTTGGCTTAACATAAATAGCATCAAAGATGATAAACTAAAAGGTTTCAATTTCCAAAATTACACACCGACTCTGGATTCAACAGGAGAGGAACTTGGAGAACTGTTGATATATGCATCGTTACATTTGATTTCTCCTCTGCCCCCAGCTTGCCTTTGTCTGCTCCTTTTATCTCTTTCAGTCTCTGCTACCCAATCCCCTTTGCTCACCTTTATGAATATTTATGCATTTCAAATGTCAGGTGAGAAGAAACAAGAAAGATACAATGAAAAACAGAGAATTATGGGCCTCTGAGTTGGAAGATCATCGGGTTGGTCTTTGGTCTTTGCGTTTTACTATTCGATTCCGCGGTTGTTTATGCTCAGGATTGTTGGGAGGGAGTTCCACATTGACTAACTAAGGGGATGTTCATGGGCTTATAAGTAAGGAGTACATCTCCATTGGTACGAGGCCTTCTTGGGAAACCAAAAGCAAAGTCATGAGAGCTTATGCTCAAAGTAGACAATATCGTACCATTGTGGAGAGTCGTGGGTTTTGGCCGTTTCGATCCTTCGAAGTTCTGTTTTATAGGCAAACATCCAATATGATTCTAGGCCTATTTCAAATGAATTTCTAAACAGTGAAGAAATGTTCTTGAAGTGTACAAAAAGTGCTTAAAGTTTTGTTTTGTGAGTGAACAGTCCAAGTGCTTAAAAAAAAAACTATTCTTTAAGTGCAACAAAAGTGCATTTAAGCATTTGAAAAGTCGGGATTTCTATTAGTCTCAATAAAATGCTTTGGATCCAGATGATGTACCTTCGTAAAATCTTCATTATTAAGCTGAAGGCTTGGTACGGTCTTGCTCCTTGAAACATAACTTGAACCCTTTGATCTGCTCTTCAATGCATCAGCAGAGAAGTTAAAAGATCGTACAGATACCTCATTAGATCCGCAGCTTTCCTTTTCTTCTGCACCAATATCAAAGAGTCTTTGGCTTATAACCAATCTCGGATTGTTGTCAATCCCTTCCAATGGTTTCATCGTGTGAGTTTCGACTGAGGAGCCTTCAGGAAGGCGGGTGGCCATCCACCTTTCCAGCCAGCTCCAGCTCATGTTCGCTTCTATAGCATCGGATTTCGAGTGTTTTCTCTTCGAGCAGATTCGTAGCTTAAAACACAGGAGTAACCAGAATTATTACAGCAACCAATCCAACTACTTTATTTTCTAAGAACTTATCATAATTGTACCTGTTGCGAGAAAGCGTAAGCCAGTGCTCGTTCACGCCGGGTTGATGCTTCTAGCCTGTTCTGAATCCTCATTTTTGTTACATTGCTGCTCACTGTGCTATCATCCCATTCTTCCTACAAAATCCAGAGGGCGAAACGAGTTACAAAAGATCATTAACATTTTCAAGAACTATGAAACTTTCAATGTTTCCCTAATCAGATCCAGATAACATTCAACGAGTTATGCAGAGAAAATGTCGTCTTCAACCTTCAGCTTAAGTAATTGGGTTTTGGTTTTCTGTTGCATTCGGTTGGAAAGAACAATTCTTTCATCTTGAACAGAGAAAGCTTCAGAATTCCCAGTCTGAACTTCAATTGACGTGCTTAGAGACTCTCTGCTTGGACTTTCTATTCCCTCAGTGATCTCCTTCTTGCTATCACTATTCGTCCATTCGATCTCGGCATCCCGACGCCGAGCCTGCAATTCAAATTCATCAA